GCGGCCTGACTTTTGGCAACTACGAAAAAGTTGAAACGTTACATATGCTAAGTAAGAGTAGTTAATAAATACTGCGGCATACCGCCACGCCGTGTGCTGCCATATGCTGCGCTCGATGCAGTTATAACGCTCTCTGTATCAGATAGTGCGTTGGTGCCGCACTCTGCATGAGTATTTCTTTGCGTTTGTTTTGGCTGCAGCGTTGGCTCTGGTATATCAGTCTTATGTTGTTTATTTTGTAGGTTGTTATCTTGCGCTTCTAACGTAAGTTGTGCCTTGATGGTGGCACCATTTCTCACTTCTACATATGCTGGCTGTTGTGTTTCGACTTCACTTTGCTGTTTTAATCTACCTTTCGAACGCGTTTTTATATTTTCTTCCGTCTTCAAGCTTGCATCCTTGCGCTCTGTGGTAATTATTCTGGTTTTTGTAGCTTTATTTATACCACTGCAGTTTGTTGACAAATTTTCTGTTGTTTGCTTTTCCACTGCACACTTAAGCGCTGTATCTTGCTGCGCCCCCGCCACCTGTCGCTCAGCTATCAACAAGCAAAATTTACGAAAATTGTCTACGCTAGCCCAGCAACTTACACATATAGCATCGTTGCTAGTAAGCTTAAGATATTTAAAAATTAAATAATATGCAACACTTCCATTCAGCGAAGATTTCTAACTTACCAACATACCCATATATTTGTGCACGATAGTCAAAATATCCAACGAAGCCTTACCATCGTCATCGCGCAAGCTTATTACTATTTTCTCTTGATATAAACACAAGCGGCAATGCGTTAAAGCTGTTTCCATTTTGCAAATGCCTCGCTTAAAATTGCAGCAAATGTTTAATAGACACCAATTGACGTCTGCTTAGAAATAAACAAAACTTACAATTCAGCTTGTCAGCTGCTGCACCGCTGAGCAGCTGTTTAGCGCGGACTGTCAAGCGCGTAAACAAAAACACAGCTGTTATGTGAAAAATCGTGAGAAGTTATCTGTTTAAGGATGTTCCGCAATGTTGTGATTGGCATATCCGGCGGCGTCGATAGCGCCATTTCTGCGTTGCTACTCAAGCAAAAAGGTTAGTGCTACAGTTTTTAATAACCCACAAAGCTACTAAGCCTGTGATTTGTATTTATGAAAAGGCTACAATGTGATTGGCGCTTTCATGAAAAACTGGGATGAATTTGATGAATTGGGCGCTTGCAGTGGCGAGCAGGACTACCGTGACGCGGAGTATACATGCCAAAAACTTGGCATTGAACTGCATACGGTTAATTATGTTAAGGAATATTGGAATTCGGTATTCAGGTGTGACTACTACGTGCTACGCTGACATTTGTCGTCTTGAATAACCAATACAAATAACTAATTGTCATCAACAGCGCTTTCCTGGAAGATTATCAGCATGGACTGACGCCAAATCCCGATATACTTTGTAACAAGTATATCAAATTCGACTTATTCTTTAAATATGCCACAGAACAGCTAAAATGTGATGCAATTGCTACGGGACATTATGCAAAAACAAATTTTGGTAATTTTCTGCAGCACTTTAACCCGAATGGTGGTATGTACTTCAATTCTTTGTGTTGAAAATGTGCTCAAAGCAAATAATTTCCCTACAACATAGACGTGCGCTTGCTGATACCACGCGATACGTTTAAGGATCAAACGTTTTTTCTCTCTGGCATACAGCGACACACGCTCAGTCGCACCATGTTTCCGCTGAGTGACGCGCTGAAGCGCGAAGTCAAAGCGCTAGCGCGTGAATGTGGCTTAGAACGGCTGGCGCAAAAGAAGGAAAGCACTGGAATTTGTTTTGTGGGAAATCGCGATTTCAAACAGTTTATTAAGGAGGTAAAGCTTTACAGCACATTTTACTGCAGAACAAACTTATGCAATAGTCTTACAGTACATACAACCGCGCACAGGGCATTTCGTTGATATAGACAGTGGTAAAATTGTGGGCACACATGAAGGCATACACACGTGGACGATTGGACAACGTTGTCGTTTGGCCTCCTACCTGCGACCATACTTTGTAGCGCAAAAAGACGTCGCCACTAATACTATCTATGTGGCGTCGGGACATGAGCATCCCGCGCTATACAGCGATGTCATACACGCCGCTGCGCCCAATTGGCTGTGCAATGATCCGTTGAGCGCTGATGCTGCTGTGGTTGGTCAGCAGTTGCGTTGCCGCTTCCGCTTTCAACACACAAAACCACTAGTTGATTGCTTAGTTAAAAAGTCAGCCAAAGAGACTGCCGGCGTGACCATCACTTTGGATAAGCCATTGAGAGCGCTTACGCCAGGGCAATATGCGGTTTTCTATACTGAAACGGCGTGTTTGGGTTCAGCGCGCATCATTAGTGCCTGCCGCAGAGCAGAGGAGAGGGTGACGGAAGTGGAAATGCTAAAACAAAGTTGACAAATTAATAGCCAGTGCTTGAAAGAGTATTTCTGTTATGCACAAAGATTGTTTTTGCATTTTTCTTTTCATTAAAAAAAATTTTTTTTTTTATTAAAAAAAAATCACTTTGTTCGTTTTGTTTCTATTTTAAGCTGAACTGTTTGCAGCATTTTATTTTGCTATTATTTTAATGCACGTTTTTCTAATGGTTTGCATATAAAACTTATTCTCACTATTTTTTGTTGCAATGCATTTTGCGTTCTTTTGCGTCGAGAGAAATGCTAAACAAAACATAAATACGTATAACGGCATTGACAAATTACAAAGTCATTGTTGTGCTAGTGTTTACAAATATAACTAGAAATCTAATATTAACAATCTTATCAGGTCATATAACGGTTAAATATTGATTACATTTCTTATAAATAAAACGTGTCTAAAATTTTAATTTACTTAACTGCTTATAAACTAAACTTAAAAGTCAACTTTTACTAAGCCAAAAGCACAGTGAGCGCATCTAAAAATTTCGCCATATCATTTTGTCTTATTTGTATTAACGAGCTCTCGAAGAAATCCTGTAAAATAACTGCATTACACTTGCCAGCTGCCTGTTCGAACGCTTTGCCAAAGAAATTTTTCGGTGAATCTTCACGCACCGGTGGTATACCCACCAAGAGGCAGAGGCCGCGTTCCAAGTCTACCGGACAACTGGCGATTAACGGCAATTCCGGCGCTTGCCGACTGCGTGACACCGCTACGTGACCGTTTAACATAAACTTTGCCAGCAAAGTCAAACCGTACGGATAGGAGAAATATGTATTTTCCTCGTTTAAAATGTAGTAGAAGAATGTGCCTGTAGAGAGCACTTGATGCGCTTCCAAGCTGCTTTGTACTTGTTTGAATATGGACGATAGTAAGAGCTTGGCATTTTCAATGCCTTGCAACATAATGTCACGATGGCTGCGCGATAAGCTATCCAACGCTTCCAAAAAACAATCCTCTGGTGTTTTATCCTTTTTCACTGATTCCAAAATGGCTAGCATGCCATAGACATAATCGGCCGCCGAATAGCGATTCCTATAGCCATAGTTCAGCGTAAATGAACCATATACTATATTCGGAATCTTATATTTTTCCGCCAGTTTTTCCAACATTTTATAGAACTCCTGACGCAACACCAAATCCATTGCGCTAAACATCTGTCTCGCTTGCACTAATGGCAAACCCATTTCGACCAGCAGCTCATGCAGACGCTTCTCGCCGCGCAAAGTCCATAAACGCAATTTGCACGCACAATACATAGAGTAACTAAAAAATATATAAATCGTCACTGAAATTGTTAAATAATACAAAAATATCATCCACACACCGCATTGACTCCACCACACTCCAGTGTCGGTACAACACTAAATGCAAGTCATTTTCAAAATTTATCTTCGAGGCGCTCATATTGCTCTGATCGTTAGTTTTATTTGTTAAACGCGATACATGCGACTGCACATTTTCAATTTCCAGCGTATAAGCGCTGCTCTCTATTTTGCCCAAAATCAATTGCTCTGTTAGACCTACAATGGCCCACCACAATAAATCCATATTATCCTTGGACAGTTTCCAAGCCAATTCAAATATATTTAACGCTGTCGAACGCCCATAAAAGCTGTATTGTGTATATTCGAACATTATCCGATCACGTTCGTTTTCCCATGTACGACGTTGACGTTGCTTTATAATATGCTGCTCGTGACGTTCGAGGCGACTCAGCTTTTGTGCGGGTGGTCGATCAACTTTTTCACTATCTTCTTCATCAGAACCGCCCGCACCGCTATCATGGCCAGCATCATCATCGCCCTCATTGTCACTGTCTTCATCTTCTGATTCACAGAATATGGATTCAAATGTGGGAATATTCTCTTCCAGCGCAGGATCACCTAATATGCACACCTTTAAAGGAATTACAAATCATATGAGCCAACGGTAAATACATATACTATGTATGTAATTTTTTTTAACTCACCTGTCGGTCACTATAAATGTTACACACATCTAACGGCCGATGCGCATCGCAGATAAAAAACGTTACATTCTCTTCGGGTTGCAGCAATTCTACAATGTCTACACAACCGCCACAATTGACTAGCAGCACGTATTTTACATCACCCTGATGTTCGTTGTAAGCGCGTTGCAAACCGGCCAAACCCATAATTGGTACCACCGAATATAGCATGTGGTCATATTTGAAGAGGGACTGCAAAATCTTACTAGCACATATAGCGTCGATATCATAATTGACAATTATAAGCAGGCGTTTGCCCACTAGTCGATTGTAGAAATCCTGTCTGAGATCTTGTATAAACATTGCAAATTTTTTTTTCTTCGTATACACTAAGTAATTTCTTTCGTATTTGTCTATTTAAATATGCTGTGCCCGACAGCTGCTCGCGATCAACAACACTTCGAGCACTACATAATTATTGACCGTTTAACGTTAATAAATGCTTATATTTTGATTTTTTTTTCTTTCAATGAAGCGATGATCTGTTGTTAGTAATGTAATCCTATTCGATTTTTTTTTAGAAATCGTTCTTTCAGCAGAGAAATAAAATTTGCAAAATCTCAAAAGATCGTCCTGTTCACTTTCCCATGTTGTTTTAAAAAGCGGGAAACTTTGATTCGTGCGGTATGTTCAATATGAAAGATGATTTAAACAGAGTTGCTTTTGAAGAGAAAACAAATGTCATAAAAAATAAATAAATAAACAAATTATTTTAAGCATAAAAATAAACTTTTAAGAATTAAAATGAAAGTTGAAATTATATAGCAAAAACAAACATAAAGTATTACAAGTTTTAGCTTGCATACAAAGCAGAAATTAATAAACATTAAACATTTAGCCAATGAAGGAACAAAGAATAATGGCAAATTTAAGTTTTTAAGGTTTAATTTATGAATGTTGATTGAAACTTATATGTCACATTTGAACCTCAATTTAAATATAGCCATTTACTCATGTGTTTTTTAAGTATGAATTAAAGCTCCAAACCAACACCACTTTCATATTTTTTTTGCCGAATCTTTATACAAAAATAACACTTGAACGTAATACTGTATAACAGCAAATGTTTTATTAAAAACTAATAGGTTTACAATTTGTCACTTTGTTAGCACTAAAATCTATAGCTAAATTCTAATTAACAAACTCAATTCAAAATTAAAATAATTATATACCCCTGTCCACCTACAGTTCCTCGAAGAAAGCCACACGCGCTTTAGTCGAACCTGATTTTAATTTTTTCAACGTTGAGTATTTCGTTTCGCCCGCCTTGATGAGCGCATCACTAAGTATATCCAAATTACATTGATTTTCTTCGATTTTCAACAATTCAATTTGTGAACGCAACGTTTGCAACTGATTTTCCATTTGTTTGGATTTCTTTAAATACTCTAAGCGAGTATTTGTGATTTGCTCCATTTCAGCGTCAGTGAGTATGAATTCCTTAATTTCACAATCATCAATAAGTTCGGAGCAGATGTCGTTTGTGTTAGCGCTAAGATCATTGTGGGATGTCGTCAATTCGACGCCGCCTGCCGTTTCCATATCAATAGTTGAATTGCTGTTGGTCAACGATGGTGTGCTGACAGCCGTGTTTGTAGCCGATACGACTACGGTATTCCCTGAAACGGCCACTAAACTATCGGTGGATGTTTTGCGTCCATGATTAATAAAATTAAGCAGACGCGCGGTCGCTTCGCGCTCGGCTAATTGTGCGCATTGCAGCTCTTTTCGCAGCTTTTCCGCCTCTGCCTCACGTTTATCCTTTTCGACTGTTAATTGATGCACATAAAAGTCTGCATCGCGTATTTTCTTCTCCAAATCCATTTTCTCGTGCTCAATTTTCATTTGACGCTCACGTAACCGATCCATTTCTGTTTTGAAGTGATGTGCTTTACACTCGGTCAATTGCATTTGCTCCTCATTTACGCGACTTTTTTCAAAGTACAGCTCCTTGGTCTCCTCAGAACGCCGCTAGTGTCACAAAAAAATTTTTTTTTTTTTTTATTCGGCATTCATTTAAAGCTACTTCACTTACCAGCGCATCACTAGCCATGTGCATCTCCTCCTGCAAATGATCATATCGCTTCTGCAGTTCATAGCGCTCACGTTCCGCCTTTTCGCGTAACTTCTTCTCCCGCAAAAATTTTGCGCGTTCCTGCTGGCGCCTCTGCTTCTCCTCTTTTGCTTGTGCTTTCATTTGCTGTATTTCCATCGTGTCCGGCTTACGACGCCGCATATATAGATCATGATTGCCTTTACATAAATCTAAAATCTAGTCAAAAATAATATATAGCAAGAAAATGTGTATAGTAAAGAAAAAACGTACCATTTTATTAATATGCAAATCTTGTGAGTAGAAAATAAAATTTGAAACTTTTGTGTCCACCAGACGTATCGTAAATTTCTTATCATCGAAGCTCACATGTCTTATTTCATTCCATTGAAACGTAGTACGTGGTGAGAGCTTATTATTTTCTTCATAAATATTGAGTCCAATGGCGGTAACGCCTAGCCATAATTTGGTTTTATTTTTATTCTGTGAAAAATAGTGAAAGTCGTTTTCGCATTCATCTTAATTTCAAAACAGCTGAGCCACACTTACAGTAATAGGAAAATAGTTTACACCATACATATCTAAATCTTGTGCAATCTTCAAGTATTCCATTTCAACTTCATCACGCGTCATCGGTTCATGATCCATATACCTATAGAATGATTTTCTAGCTTGAACTTTGCATCATATAATTTGATTTTAAAAAATACCTACCAGGTTTTAATGCGTTCCTCCCACATTTCCGGCGTCATTTGATACTGGTCGGTAACTTTTTTTGGCAACAAGTCTGCACTCGCTAGCATACCATCCTTATAGGTTTCATAGTCGTAAGGCCCATACTGCACATGTACAGCATATGATGCTAACAATACTGATGCTTCCGGCCGACAATATATATCCATGGAGAGTATACTTTGTTTAACTTGCAGGAAAAACAAATGTTGTGTGATTTCTTGTATTAGCTCTTCACTAACATTCTCCGGAAAATATTTTGCATAGAAATTGAAAACATAAAACCCATTAGGTTGCAGTTGTATGCGTTGATCTTTTACTTTCTTGTCCATTTTCAGCCAGGATACATGTCCGCGCGTATCCACATACTGCAAGCCAAAATACCATGATTCACGCAAACCTATCGTGCGACAAACCAAATCAAAAAGTTCTTGTCCTGTCTCGCGATGCCCCAAATTGAATTCTAATTCTGAATCGAAGGTTACCACCTTCACTGGCAGCGAGCGATTTTTCTTCGACCGAAATGGACTCATTGTTATGCAGACATTAGTGTATATATTCCTTTCTTGCTTGATATGTCTTCGAAAGCACTTTGTTATTGTTTTGTTATGTTGTCCAATTTGTTGCTACATATTTTTCCAAAAACAAATGTTTTGCTGAAGATTTGTTTGTTAAATACTCATTGCTAATTTGGCACTTCTTAAGGCACATAAAATTTCTGCACGCTGTACCTGACAGTCGTCAGCTGCTAATCTCTTTTATAGTTTAATTATAGTTTGTATGATCTTTTTATTACAAAATTTCATCTTTTTTGTTACAGCGCGATCACTAAAAGTGCAAATTGACAAAAGTAAATGAAATGAAAAGTGAAAGAGAGCGAACTGTCAAATGACTCAAACGTACAACAGCAGATTGTTGTTGCATGGATGGAACATAAATAGTGGTGAAGGGTGCACGCACTGAATGTACTATTGTGTTTCAGATGTTCACAAACAAAAATAATTTATTGTTTTAAGACGTTCACGAATAAATATTTGGCTTTTAACATAATTCAAATTATTTTTACAGAGTTTACGTGTACAACCCGCTTTAATTAGATCTAACATAAGCTGTTATCAATTACTAACCAACATATTGCTTTCACAGTTCGACGGCTTACGCATTCATTTTCTGTATTGAGTATGAATTTACATTTTTATGTACGAGTTGAACACAAATTAAATAGTCGTTTATAAACGCAAATAATCACTTAACATATACGCAATTATATCATATATCATCTTACATTTTATAAGTTGTTATGGTAAATTAAAGTATAGAAGCCTGTTGCTTTAACTATTATAAACTTGTTTTTGTTTACTGGTACAATTTGCTTTTTTCTTTTGCACATTTCTTTTTTTAATTACTAACCTAATTTAATTTTCCAAAAACTCTCTAAACAACACACCGTTTTAGACGTTCATAGTGCAATTCATACAATAACTTATTCTTAATATAGTAGAATGGATTTTCAGCTTCGTTAAGCTCGGGTGCATATAGATGCTGCAAATGTATTTGTTGTTGTTGTTCGTCTACTATCTGAGGTTGCTTATGCAAATGCATATTTAAAGCACTGTTATTGATGTAATTGTTGTTGTATAGTTGAGACAAATCAACTTGTTTGGTGGGGTCATTAAAATGCAATTGCTGAATTGCCTGCTGGGGCTCATCCAAATTTGTCAAATGCAGCTGATTGATACGTTTAGAGAGTGGTGTTGAATCACAGATGTCATCTTCACGACTTCTTTTTCTGCATTGAAAATGAAATTTATATTACTTTATCGCAACTACTATAAGTTAATTACCTTTTGTCGATTAAACCTGACATTTTCTTAAAAATATTTTTATATTTTATTTTTCTAATACCCCGTATTTACGTTTTATTTCTTTTATTGTCGCAATCGCGAATCGGAGTAAAATTGGGATCCAGTTGATTGACTGTGTTCACAATTAGTAAATAAAAAACAGAGTTGCATGGAAATATTAATAAAATAGTTTTACAAAATATGATAACTCATTAATTAATTAATTAGTAATGAGTTGATGAGTAAAAAAAAAGATTTTAAAACCTCAGTAAACCTTCAAATATTGTGAACTTTTGAAAACATGTTTTTGCTGTGATTTTATCATAAGTAGCGCAAACATGTTCTAAAATCCGCTTTGACGAAAATTCAAACCCTATATTATTTTATTTTGGAGTGATTTAGTTTATTTTATCAAATTTAAACATGGTTTGTTTATTGCTATAAGTATGCTTATTTGGAACCCATTTGTTATTTTACTACTTACTGCCGCATCTGTGCAACTCGTCGTAGGAGAACAAAGAAGAAGAAGCAGAGTGTGGAAGTAGACGTGAATAAGAAGTGGACGAAATTATTTCATAGAGCCCAGCCCCAGTTAAAAATTTCTGATTTTAACAAAAAAATATGTAAGTAAATTGTTAAGATTTGTGAATTTGCAAATATTTGATTTATATACGACGTGAGTATGTGAAAATTGTGGATTTTTGTGTATTATTTGTATGAAAATATACGAAACAAAAGTCGTATGAAAAGAGAAAATTCTTAAGTGTGAAAAGTGACGGTGCTATGTGTGACACAGGGTGCAGAACGACGTTGGCGATGACGGCGTACGAACAAACGAACGATATTAGGCAGCAGCGGCGTTGGCGGTGCTGAACTGCGAAGCGTCATTACAATAACGAAAGGAATGCCAAAAAAAAGGAAACATAAAATCTCAACAAACGCACGCACTTATTGCGGCATTCCCAGCATAAATGCCAAGTGTGACCCATTCTGCGGCGTATCCGTTGAGATACGGCAAGTGAATAAGCCAAAATAGGCGTCAGTAACACACATTATCAGCCGATTTATAGATATCTGTATGTATGTACGGGTGTGTAGGCAAGTGTGTCGCAATAAGATGTGTATTTTCCTTTTTGTAGTCAGCATAAAAAATTTGTTTATTTGATAATTACTTTCACGTTTTTACAATACAAAAAAGTTTTGTGCTGAATTCCAAAAAACAAGTTTTGGTATTTAGCAGCAAAAAATATATATAAATAAAATGCATCAGCGCTTCCGTTGCGATCGACTGCGCTGTTGGCGACTTTGTATTTTCACCGTCACAAATAAGACATATGTAATGTATATTACTTTAGCAAGTGTGTTTTAGGAAGTTGTTAAGTTAGAGGCGTAGTAAAGTACAATAGTGTTATAGGTAATTTAGAGTCAGTATTTTAATAGTTATGAACGCCAACCAGCGAATTTTTCTTATCAACATTCAATGCTTTTTGAGTCATAGTTCTTGAGAAGAGAATAGTCGCAGCGCAGTCGCTAAATTCAAAGCAGCAATACGACGTCGTCAGTTGTCACATAAGCGCAGCACTCACGCGCGCACACAAACATGCATGCATTCGGTTGTAAGTTGACTGATCGCACGGTACGTGTACCTTATACATATTTAAATTTCCTTAATGAAACTGCAGCCATGTATGATTGTGTGAGCACAAATGGGTAGACTTGCATACGCAATATAATCAACTTGGAACAAATGCTTTGCTTAATGCTTTTAACGGTCACATAAATGGAGAGAATGTGAAACGAACATTCGGCCGCTAATACCAGTTTCAGCAGACAATACTCGATGATATGAAAGCATAAAAAATTCTTTGCATTAAATTATTACAAGTGTGGAGGCACCGTCGATATACATATCAAGGAAGCGGAGAAAAGCCATGCACACATTCATGCCTACATCATACATACATACTTATATGGCATAAATTAATGTATTTATCCGCTTTTGACGCTAAAAGGCGAATGATAGAATGAAGGAAATAACAATTGTTAGTGCGTTAGAGTCAACAACATTATCTACAATTGAATTTGGCTCGTGGTTAATACGAATTGACTGGCATTGAAACCTTAAAGCTACGTAATTGACAACAAATGTTAAAAAACATAACGGACAACGTTAGACAATAATGAATATTTTGGATGTGTCAAAAGTTTGTTTATAGAAAGTGTATGTCGATTTTTTTTTTATTCTAGGCGACTACTATAGTCTTATATGAGGTCATTTTATAGCAAAAAATACAGCAAAATGTTACAAAGACAATCCAGACAGTAAAAAGGGGTCAACAGGTGCTAGTTTTGGTTAATAAATGTACGGCGCAGCACATGACTATTAAAAATTTTTGCCAAATCGTTGAATAATTGAAAGCAGCGAACAAAGCGCACTGTACAAAGAAATATTTTTTCTTTTTCTTCACAGCCTTTGTGTAATCCTCCCCCTCACATTTCACACTACAATTTCTTCCCTTATTACTAGTCAGCTAGTGGATATGCTATTCAGTGCAGGGAGTGTCCTTTTTTGCCATATGTGTTGACCAACCTACATATCTAGCTATATATTAGTTTTGCTGGAGGTGTTTTGTTTTTTTTTTTAAATTAATTTTTGTTTAATATTAACCAACGGATAATTGTTTCTAAATCAATCTAATACTATATTTTTGCTATATTCAAGCACCACGCGATTTTTTTATGTCATCTGATAAGGTTTTAGTGTATGCAAAAATATATAGTCTCAAATAGCTTTTGGAAAGTTAATCAGCTTTTAATGTTAATGCAAATGTTAACGCATTGATGTTTTACGATTATTTATTGCATGCATTTAGGATGCAGCTAAAAGTTATAGGTAGCAACTGTCAGTCTTTCGTATTATTGTAGTTTCAAGTTATATGCATGAAATAAGTTTTGTGAAACAAGTGTTAAAATGAAACAATAATTGTTGCTTGCAGTACCACTTTAGACGACTGCTGCGCCAAAACGCAAAGAAAGAAGTTACACAAACATGCAGACTATCAAGTGTGTTGTTGTCGGCGATGGTGCCGTGGGTAAAACTTGCTTACTCATCTCTTACACCACCAATAAATTTCCTTCGGAGTATGTGCCCACTGTATTCGATAATTATGCGGTGACAGTTATGATCGGCGGCGAGCCATACACTCTGGGCCTATTCGATACGGCCGGTCAGGAGGATTACGATCGCCTGCGTCCGCTGTCTTATCCACAAACAGACGTTTTTCTCGTCTGCTTCTCAGTGGTCAGTCCCAGTTCATTTGAGAATGTAAAGGAGAAGGTTAGTGCATCTACATACATACATAGATATATTCATACAAAATATAATTTGAAAAAAATTACGTTGCGTTTTATTATTACTCGGCATAGTGGGTACCGGAAATCACGCACCATTGTCAGAAGACACCCTTCCTATTGGTTGGCACACAAATCGATTTGCGTGACGAGAGCAGCACTTTGGAGAAATTGGCTAAAAACAAACAAAAGCCCATTACCATGGAACAAGGCGAGAAGCTGGCCAAGGAATTGAAGGCAGTCAAATATGTGGAATGCTCCGCCTTAACACAGGTTAGTTATTTGTTTTCTGGCATATTTTAAGTGTTTTAAATACCTCTTCCTTTTGAATAACAGAAAGGTTTGAAGAATGTTTTCGATGAGGCCATCTTAGCAGCGTTGGAGCCACCAGAACCATCCAAGAAAAGGAAGTGCAAATTCTTATAATTTTATGTATTTATTTATAAACGACATTTCAAACAAATAGCAAAAGCAAGAAAACTAACAATAACAACAAAATAAGCTTGCAAACGCGTATGAATTCATTCTATGCACAGGAAAAAAAAAATTCAAAAAAAAACTAAATTTTGTAAACGATTTGTCGAAACGAGTCAACCACACTCATTTGTAGTGTGCAAACGGTAAATTCGTGTGGCGGGATTGGCGTGTGGCAAAAATACAATAACAAAAATGTATTGTTAACGTCGAGCGCAAAAAAAAAATTAAGTATTTGTATTTTGGGAATGATAGGGTCTGTCTATTTTGTAAAAGCTGGTGGTACTATGAATAATATGGCAACACATGCACACAAAAATAGCAATAAATAACATTTTTCTAAAACAAAAAGGAAACAACAACAATAGTTAATATTGAAGTAAGGCAGTATAAAATTAACGCGTTCGTTTTGGATTTTTCAAATTACCGCATAAATATGTATACATACGGCAATATAAAGATATATATATATATTTAAAAACATGAAATTATATATATATATGCGCAGCATGCCAGTGAAGATACAGTGCATAAAAAAGCAAACAAACAGCAAATTCAAAATAAAAATATGCAATTTTTCGACATAAATTGAATAATTTAAGTAAAAGTGAACGCAAACACGTGCACACACAAAGCTAAGCGTTAAAGGAGTATAAAACATTTAAAGTAACCACAAAATACTTACAATAAAAAACATTGAAGCAAAAAATGATTGTAGTTCGACATTGAAAAATGAACTAATGATGCATTTTTTAATATTTTTATATATATACATTATCAATTTTTACATTACTTTAGTTATAGTCATTATAATTATTGATTTCAGATATTAAATAAAAAATGTAACAACAACATAAAAATAAAAATTTTTTTTGGTTATTATTGCGTGGTTGTAACATTATCCGTTGTATATAAAACGTCTGCAACAAAACTGGCAGCTTAGCATGTGAAAGTGGCTTTTGGTTACGTAAGGATTTGCAGCGCCCGTCAGGGGTGGTATAAACAGTCTAAAACTTTCCAGTTCTGCTGCTTCAATCAGGATGTAAAGCTTTAAAATATCAAAAAAATGTCTGCAGGTGACGATTGTATTCGCGAAAAAGTAGTAATTGTTTTTTTTATATATTTTATATTTTTTTTTATATATTTTATATTTTTTTTGTATATATGTTTTTTATATATATATTTTTTTTTTATATATTTTTATATATATTATATTTTTTTTTATATATTTATATACATATCTATTTGAATTTTTTTTTTAAATTTTTTTTTATTTTGTATATTTTTTTTATATTTATATATATACGTATATATTTTTTTCTATTCATATATATAAATTTTTTATTTTTTAAATATTTTTATATATTTTTAAATATTTTTATATATTTTTAAATATTTTTATATTTTTTTTAAATATTTTTGTAACACATACATTATATTTTTTTTGTATATATGTTTTTTATATATATTTTTTTTATATATTTTTTATACATTATTTTTTATATATTTTTTTATAAATTTTTTTTTCATATATTTTTTTATATATATTTTTTTTTATATATATATTTTTTTTATATATATATTTTTTTATATATATTTTTTTTATATAAATATTTTTTTTATATATATTTTTTATACTATATATTTTTTTTATATATTTTTTTTTATAAAGTTTTTTTAATATATTTTTATATATACATATTTTTTAATTTTTATATATTTATTTATTTTTTTTTATTTTTTATTTTATTATTTATTTTTTTTATTTTATTATTTATTTATTTTATTTTTGTTTCAAACACCATATTTTCAACTTTTATGTTTAAAACTATATATGTCCATATATGCAAACACATTTTTTTGTATCAAACATTAAAAACTTTATTTTAATTTTACAAATCTACAATTTACTGAGCCACTTCTAGTGTTGACTTGACACCACGCCATTTTGACGCCTGCACCCATTTGCATTTGATACCCGCCTCTTTAACTGCATGCAGCATACTTACGCCCAACGCTGCTTTGCCTTGTATGCTTACTGCATCGTAGTCCCAGCGCATGCAGCTGGGAACTTGTTTTATTTGCTCAATAGCATTCCATGCAATCATAACACCATTATCCGAACAGTATTTCTTCGACGGTCGGTACGCGCAGCAATCGTAGTGCGCTGCTAAATTTGCGAGATCATTAAAAATGTAATCGTTATTGGCCACACCGCCAGATACAACGAGCGAACGTGGCGCGTCACCAAACCAGGGCAGTGTAAATTCCAGTGCGCGTTGTGTGCGATTCATTAAATGGCGACTTACTGCCGCTAGCAGACCGGCGCAGAAATCGTGATAGTTGTAGATGATGCCGTCCGGTGGTGTGCCTACGGAAAACGGAATAATTTATTTAAGTAAAGCAAATTTCTTTCGGCTTCACCTTCCTGCCGCTCAGCCGCGCGTATATTACGAAAAGCATTATTCTTTATGCCCGCAAAGCTGAAGTTGCAATTACGATCACGTGCCAGCGGTAAGGGGAATTCGAAGCGCGCGGCGTTTTTCGCGTCCTTTGCAGCGTCCTCCACTGCTTGGCCGCCATTCCAATAACTATATTTTGGTAGGAGAAACAAACGCAAGCGACGCGCTATTTTATCGAACGCTTCGCCTGGCGCGTCATCAAGCGTTTCGCCGAGTAGCAGGAATTGTGTAGCGCTCCGTACAAAAACCAATTGCGAATGTCCACCGCTTATGAGTAAACATAGGAAAGGAAATGGTATGTTTTGTTCCATACGCGCTTGTAAAGCATGTGCTTCCATATGATGTACTGGCACCAATGGTTTGTTGTATTTCCGTGCTATGTGTTTGGCAAAGCGCGCACCCACAAGCAAACTGAGCGGCAGACCTGTGAACATACGCAGTTAATTGCTAGTGTTCAAATTCTTGAAAATTAACTTAATTACCAACCAGGTCTTGTTGTAACACCGATAGCATCTAACATGTCAGGTGTCATCTTTGCCTCCTGCATGCAACGCTCGAAAACTTCGGCAATCTTGGCACGATGCAAATCCTGTGCGCGCGGCGGAATGATGCCACCATACCTGTACATATTCATCAATGCAAACAGTTAATTTTTAATATGCTTCATCTTTATATATCGCTTTAACCTAGCATGAAATTTTTGCTGCGAGTTCAAAACATTGCCAAGCACTTCGCCGTTTTCGTTCAGCAGCGCAATGCCAGTGTCATCGCATGAAGTTTCAATACCGAGTACACTGAGGTAACGTGCTTTAGCAAATTTACATGCGAAATTCTTAAAAGTTCTTAATGCACTTGTTGTAAACGTAAACATTTTTATTAATCTATTCAGCAAATAATTTACGACATACTTTACACAAATATCGGCAATTCACAAATTTCATAAACAGCTGATCGCAAAACAAACAAAACAAACCAACAAAAAGTGGCAACTGTATTAATGCAACATTTGTTTTACGTCATACAATTTTTTTATAAATTTATTTATTTAAATTTGAAAAACAGAAAGTCAATTCGGCACAGGTACATGGCCAGTTAAATTACCATTAAATTATGTCTAGTGTTCGTAAAATATGCGATAGTAGATTGCTTTTGAGCGAAAAAAGCTGTAACTGTTGCTGAATTTCATCAGATACACCCCTTCCCCGGGATATGAATGCGAGCCAACGTAAACTTCGTTAAAACAATCGCGACGATAGAGGGGCACTATTATCGATACGTATGGCTTCGTGGTGCTACCATCGTCCAGCGATTCTCGGTCTATATTTACGCAGCCACTTTCAAGATCTTCGTTTGTCGATTGGATATCATCGTCGATATCACAGTCGCCATTTTCGCTGTCTGTCTCATGCACAACCACTTCAGTTGTTGTTGGTTTGCTCCATTCAAAAAATAGACCGAAGCCAACATCGTAATTATCACTGGCAAATTCCCAGAATATACTTTTGCCATTTGCCATTGTTGGTACCCGTACCTGTGATAAAAAAAAAGTTGAACATTCAAAAATATGATTACGGTATTTAAAATAAATTACGCTGCATACCGTTACAATTTCGCCCGGATCTAAATGTAGCACGCCATCTCCCTCACCTTGCGATACGTCGGCCTTAAATTCTTCGATATCTGGTCGCGTCCACATTTTAGCCGGTTCTAATGTAATGAATTTATCTTGACTGTTGTCGTCTTGCTGCTGCTCCTCATTCTTACAGTCATCTAGACCACTTGCAGTGTCACCTGCTTCGGTTGGCAGCCGCTTCGAGCCTTCTTCACCCAATTCAATGTGAGATTTATTATGCATATGCAATTGTTGCATATACTGATGGTAATGCTCGTCCTGTAACTGACGTATGAGTACGCCCTGTTGTTCTGGATTACCAGGAAACTGAATTTCAGCGTAGCTCTTTGAATTATATAAAATTAGGTATTAAGTAAACACATTTTGTATTCATATATTGTAGCCAAAGTACTTTATAACTACCTTAAACTGCTGAAATGTTTGTTTGTTTAATGCATCTTTAAGCTGCCGTCTTTGCAATTCTTCTTTGTAGCCCTCTTCTAGAAACTCTTTTTGTTCACGTTCACGCTTTTCTTTCTCCAACTTATCTGCCTCCATACGACGCAGATCTTGCTTTAACGTCTCATCGCGATTTTGTTTAACCGCTTCCACATAAGGTCGAAATGCGGTACACATATTATCCAACAAATCGATGAATCCCTCCATTGCCTGTTCGCGATTGATATCCCCCAAGAGCTGCCAGTGCATGCGTCTATCTCGTCCAATGACATCGAGCACTCCTAACTCGGGCGCACTGCTGGCATCGAAAGGACCAATTGTGGCTTGTTGCTTAAAAGCTATCAATTTTAAATTATCCTCATACGACAGATGTATTGCCTTGCCTGAGTTCTCTACAATTAAATGATAGCAAACATGTACATATAGACAGCTGTTCAAGTGACCGTTTATCACCACTTTTTTTCCCACATTATCACATCTAATCAACTTACGTTTGTAGAAACTCAGCGCCAATCGATATAGTTCTGGCAATGTGAATCCCCATTTTTCTAACGCAGCGGCTTGTTGAATGCTGTCCATTTTATATAAACTTCTGTGCGAATGCTTTTTTCACCAAGTATGTATTTATTTGTAATTACGCTGACATTGTAATCAAGAAATTTGGCTTTTCCAGATTCCAGCGTATACAAAAAATTGTTCAGAATAAATGTAAAGGGCGAGTGTAAAGTGTCAAAACCGAAACACTATTCACAATAATTTTCTCGTTATGGCCAATGATTGTTCTTAATTGTAAATCAAAATATTTTCCCTATTTACGTATTGAAAATAATTATCTTTTAATAGTAAAAGTCAAATTTCGTGCAATATTCAATAAGTGACTAATTGAAAATTCTATAAAAACCACAAAGCTATGCTATACCAACTGTTTAATGTCACTGTTGTCAACAGTAAAGTGAAATGGCAACCCATATACAGGTGCTGCCTGCTTTGAGTTGCTCATTCATTCGTAATCTGTTCTCCGTTTGGACTTGTTGTGTTTTACATAGTGCGTGCATTTCGGTTGTAAATAAAGAGAGAGACGAAAAGGAAGACAGTGTGTGGTGCAATTCTGAGAATTTGAAAATTTCAGTAAAATTAATATACGCAAAACTGCCCGAAAACATAATAATCGGTGAAAAAGTTACCTGCAATGAAGAAATATCTAACGAGTGACTCTAATTAATTCATAATGTTGTGAAAAATATAAAATTTTAGTAGAAACAAAATTAATTTTTCCCAGAAAGGTAAATTTCTAAGTAAACGAATTTCTGAGAATTCGAATTCGATCTCCGCTGTTGTACATAGTGTTGTGTGTGCGTGCATACATGCGCTAGAAGGACGCAGTGTAGATCATATATGTACATAAGTGAAACGAAGGAGGGGAAGTGTGTGTTTGTGGTGCAAGTGCAAGAAGGTGCTGCATAGCCTGCATATTTCCACGAATTGGACAAATCGCTGCCGCTGCAATAAAACCGCAAAGAGGTGAAACAATTTGGTTGCTTTCGGGCACTTCATACATATAGTATATGCAACATGAGTGAATTATTGCGCTACGTTAGCATCGCAACCATTGTGTTGTGCTTAGCTCACATAACCAACGCATTCCATGAGGATGATGTAGGCGAGACAAGACCACCGCATGCTGATGTTAATGTGGGGGGCAGTGTAAATATATCTTGTCTTATAAATCCTAACCGATTCGATGATCCTTGCAAATTAACATTCATAAATCAACTTACTGGACAAAACGTACCTCATGAAGACATATTGGTAATGAATAGCAGCTACATTGTTTATATGTTTCACAGTACACGTGAGCAGTCGTTACGACTCCTTTGCAAATGTGATGGAGATGCGATCGCAGAGTCAACCATTAACGTGGGTACTCCGCCGCGCGGTGTTAGTCAATTCAATTGTCGCAGTTTTGATTTTGAATATATGGTTTGTAATTTTACCCAACCCAAGAATGCAGTACTTACCCAATACAATCTCACGTACTACATAAATTCACCTGATTACGAAACTCCGGCTTACTGTTATTTTGATATGAAACCATTAGTGGTTTGTAACATTACCGCAGAGCATTCCTATCGGCCACATGTTGAGGAGTACCACTTTAAAGTTCACAGCATCAATGCTTTAGGCAGCTATAAGCAAGAATTCATCATAAATAACTTGAATGTCATGGTGCCAGCGCGACCAGGTCAAGATTTTCATATTATTAAATTGACCACAGATAGTATGGACGCAATTTGGAGCATGCCAAAATATGACTCATACACACCTAACAAACACCGCGGCTTACAGTGGGAAGTACTCTTACAGGCAGATGGTTTCGCAGTAGAAAATATTAGTTCGCAAGTACGTGTAGCGCGTGTTGATCGTGGTTGTAAATTGTCATTAACCGAGCTGCCATATGCCCACTACTCGTATGAGTTGCGTTTACGTGTTAAAGTGCGTACGGCCGTTGCCGGTGAGGATATGTGGAGTCAAACGTTTAAGTGTCGTTTCCGTACGCAGCCCCGTATGCCAGATAGGCCACCACGCATCGATAATGGCAGTTTTTATATAAATCCACTTGAAACCGAAGTGCGCCTGTATTGGGAGCAATTAGAAAAGTGGGAGGAGAATGGTGACAATTTTACGTACATAATACGTGCGTTGGAAAAGCGCGTCAATGGCCAAACGAGGTAAAATTTGTTGAATGATTTTTTTTTTGTCTCTTTTTTTTTTGTGTATTACCCCTTAAGTGACCGAAAAATATTTGATATAGAAATCTTAACATCTATGTTACAAGTAAAGGTTCCCATTCACGGTAATTTTTAACAGTTGATAAGAAAGTAAATAAATAATTTGTCATACTGCCGTTGAAGTACATACATACAATATTATGAGAGCCTTTTCCTATCAATTAATATATGTAGCTTAAATATGGTCATTGAGAAATGCTTAATACATATTGATTGTTATGGTTTTTTATAACGGCGGAAAAGGAAATATTCAAATGTATATATATCAGCAAGATGTAATTTAGTTCCTTTACTGTTGGAGTAGTTTGCATTAAAGAACTTAAATTTATTTATATTTTGATAGAAATATTTCACAGCAATTGATAAAAAAGTGAAGTAAAGAATAAATAAAGTTTTTTCACTTCAGTAGGTCAATGGCACTATATTATATACTTCTAGGAATATGAGTGATTGCTTTTTTAATAATATTACCAATTGAGTAATGCAATAAATATGTATATAATATGCACGCATTCGGTTTGAATATTTTTTGCAAAGTATAATTATAGGTTATACTCGTATGTATGTATACGGATTTGTGTATGTGTTGATGAAAAGATGTCTTAATAAAAAACAAATCCCAATTAAAGGGAAAAAAATTTGCTGGCTAAGCAATGTGCCAAACTGTCTGTGCTTCCCAAGAATTAATTGTTTAAGTGTTTCAAAATGTATATATGCATATGCTTAGGTGTGTTGTATGTACTTATAGCAGCTTAGTTGTGCACTTCGCTGTTGTGCTCGTTTTGTTTTGAAATGGTGTATTTGATTTCTATTTAAATTTGTTAATTATTTGCGTAACACTCAGCCGTTGTATATATGCGACTACAAGCTACTTACATGTGTACATAAGTATGCACGCGCTAAACACTAGTAAAATCTATTTTGCTGCATAAACAAAAATTGTGTAATCATATATGTGCACGTTTTTAAGAAAGAATGAACTTTATGTATAGATATTTGTATGATATATAAATATTTGAGCGCTTCGTAGAAAATAATTTCCTTAAAAATAAAATGTATCTATAAAATGGAATTTGCGGTCGCTTTGGCGGTTATACAAAATGCATTATCTTTTTATAATTCTGCATAACAAACGTTTCAAAGAAAGTTTGGAAATAATTATGAACACGACTCGGAACATACTATCATTCTTTATTATGAGGCATTTTTGTGTATTTCAAGAATTTCGTTTTAAATTTTTAATTGCAACAAAAATGTAATTCAAATTTAATTACAACAAAATTCTTAAATTTTATTTTTAATGAAAAGCAAAATATTAAGTTAATAAAACTACTAACTAAATTTGTGTGGTTATAGTATATCTTTTAATAATTACAATAAAATGCGTCTCGCGTCTCTGATAAGCGCAAAATTTTACTACTATATTATTTATATATATATTATATTATTTAATATTAACGAGTAAAAAATACAAAAATATGCGTTAATTGTTTACAGAGCACTGCTGCGACGACAACAAGAGGCAAATTTTGCTATTTTCGAATGGCAAAATGATTTGCACTATACTTTCGAGTTAAGTAGTCGCAATCATATGGGGGAATCCTCTACAGCAAATGTCATTACTATATACCCACAGACGAGCAGATTAGCCAAGCATCATACACCACACTCCATACATAATGTCTATCATGAGACAAATCGTTCGTATACGCTAACCTGGCTGCCACCACAAGCACAGGAGGGTCTACAAAATTATACGGTGTATTGGTGTTATTCGAAACTGGCCATGCCCACAGATTGTAGGGTAAGTGTCATTGATAAAATAAACTAAAATAAAATTTCCATAACCTCTATTTTGCTTCAATTGTGCAGGGCTCAATACATTTCCGTCAAGTGAGCAGCAAAACTCAGCGCTTTACTACGGAACCACAATCGGCCGAACATGATCACTCGTTAACGCTAGCCGTGTCCGCCAATTACATTAACTATAATACCGGCATGCATTGGACATCTTGTAGTGTTGACGTGAATGCCGATTTTGAACCCATGGAACCTGAAATTTTGTCCATCTCCGCAACGGAATTGCGCGTGCAATGGAGCTCGAAGACAGTTTGCCCATCAATTTTAAGCGGTTATAATCTAACCTATTGCGAGGTGGCGCATACACCAGCTACCGACAGCATAACACCGCCTAGTGTAGAGAGCGGCTTATTTGAGCCATTCAGCAGCGCCAAGACTGTGCATGCTGAAAGGGCTGCGTGTGTTAGCGCCCCGACTACCATAACAATAGATAAGAATTGGAATAAGTTTAATATAACAGGCCTAAAACCCTTTACGCTATATCGTTTGGAAATGTTTATGTTCTCCAACGTGAAGGCGGGCAAGCCGAATGATCAACTATTGGTGCGTACATTCGAAGCGGCGCCTTCACCACCACGCCAATTACACGTTACCGAACTGACCGATACAAGTGCGAAAATTACTTGGTTTGCACCAAGTGAAGCCAACGGTTATATACGTCAGTATATTGTTAAGCTGAATAATAAGGAATTTTTAGTTAATGCCTCGCGCTTGGATGACGCCAACAACATCAGTTTTGTTTTGGAGAATCTCACCAGTTTTACGCCGTATAAAGTGTTTGTAATTGCGGTTACAAGTTACAAGTCGAACCACAGCAATGATATTCACTTCACCACTTATATGAGCGGTAAGTTTGCGCTATGAAAATAAATGATGAGAATATGTTCAGACCTTAAACAAAATTCTAAAATAAATTTTTAAATAATTTATATTTGTTTTTTTTTTATTATTTTTTAATTTAAAATTTTTTTTTTTTTTTTAAATTAAAAAAAGAAATTTAATAAAAAAAATAATTTAATAAAAACAATAATTTAATAAAAAAAAATAAAAAAAATAATTTAATAAAAAAAAAAATAATTTAATAAAAAAAAAGAAATTTAAATAAAAAATACAAAACTTTATTAAACAAAATTATTTTTATTAATTATTATTTTTTTTATTAATTATTATTTTTTTTATTAATTTATATTTTTATATTAATTATTTTTTTTTTATTATTATATTATTTTGTTTTATTAATTTTTTTTATTAATTATATTTTTTATTAGTTATTTTTTGTTTATTAATTATAATTTTTTATTTATATTAATTATTATTTTTTTTATTTTTATTAATTACTATTATTTTTTATTAATTTTTATTTTATTATTAATTATTATTTTTTTTTGTTAATTAATTATTTTTTTATAAATTTTTTTTTATTAATTTTTTTTTATCAAATTTTTTTTTAAATTATTATTTTTTATTTAATTATTTATTTTTATTATTTTTTTTTAATTATTATTTTTATTTAACTATTTTTTTTATTATTTAAATACTGTTATTGGTTTTTTTTTTTTATATTAGTTTTTCAATTAAATTCTTGTAATTTTTGTTTTTACCCAAAAAAAATAAAATATCTGATATTTCCCTATTCACCATTTGAATAATGTTCTCTTTCGCTAGCCCCCTCCAAAATGGCTTACTCAGGCACAACCTACATGAATCCAAAAGAAGTGCAGGTGAAGTGGCTGCCGCCCAGTCAGCCTGGCGGTCGCGTTGATTTCTATGAGGTCGCCGTAACAGTGCTGCGCGGTGATTATGTCGAACGTCGTCGCATATCCGTGGTCTTCGGCAAAAGTTGCGTGCTGCGTGTGCCCGCCTGTCCCGATCCGGACTATCAAACCAAAGTGGAAGTGCGTGCGATCAATGCGGGTTTGATTAAGAAAAACGAAGTCAATCCGAAGGATGTAATTGCACACCAAACCGAATTCGATCCCGATGCACATAATTACGAATACAACGAAGAATATGAATGTGTCGGTACTGACAATGCAGCGGATGCGGAACGTGAAAAGGCTGCACTGGCGGGATATAACAATAAAGGCAAATATTTGTTGTATAAATCCGACTGGTATCCGCTGACTAGTTTTGGTTGTTCACAGCGACAGCTGGGTAAAATTACCGTTATCACCTTAATGATTGTCTGCACATCGCTCATGTTGATGGCGCTCATGTTCTTCGCGACGAAAAAATGGAAAATGATGAGTGATATACAATGCACGCTGCCCGCAGCGCTGGTGGATGCCTACCTCACGAAGGAGCGGAATGGCGGTGGCGGCGGCGTTTACAACAGCAGCATAGTCAACAGTAATGGCGGTGGTGTACTCATCAATGACTTCCTAGGAACGCCAATAACGCGTAACACCAACGCCCAACCGCTGCGTGACAGCAACGAGCGACTGCACATCGAGGAGCATCACCTGTTAAGCAGACATAACCATGACTTGGGCTATATTAGCGGTGGGCTGCAATTCGGACGTAGTATTAGCACACTGGCGGAAGCACAGACTACAGAAAATGATAGCGGCGAAGAAGATTTAGCCTATCACAAGCGCGATTACTTGAACTCTGAAAGTTCCGCTGACTCATTAATAGACAGCACAAGTAGTAGTGGTGGCGTTAACAGTGAACTGGGCGCACAGGATGCAGTACCGTTACAGCGCATAGCTGAGGAGCCTGTTGGCTATGTACAAGCGGCGCAAGTGCAAACCGGCGGTGCTCCTGGCGGTTACGTGATGGCGAACAACTTGCAGGCATGGATGCAGCCAAAAGCGCCAGTACAAGCAGCAGCAACAGCAAATGTACAAACCAGCCAGCTTGGCTATGTACAAGCGGATGCGCTACAACATGCGACCGCAAGAGAAAAGCACACGGCGGCAGCAGCCCCTACTTTTAGCGGTTACATTAGCTCGACCGAGCTGGCACGTTGGCCAACGCAAAACACAACAGCAACAGCAGCACAAAGTGCAAGTGAACGCGTCGGCCACAGTGGCTACATAAAGCCCACAGCTTTAAACACGCCCAGCGCTTGTGCACAACCAGCACAAATACGCGCCACTGGCATTGAAGCAGGCAGCAATAGTGATTTTATAAACGCGAGTGCTTTGCGTGCAGCTCCTACAGTGCGGACCGAACCAAACCAACAGCCGAATGCCACAGCCACCAATAATAGCGGTTATATAACGGCTGATAGCCTTGAGGCGCATATGCCAAAAGCTATGAATGCAGCAACAACAACGCCGCCAGCAATCTCAGTTAACAACAACACAAGTGCCGATGATAAAGCACCAACGCCTGTAGCGGCTGCTGGCAGCCAAACCAATAGCGCATACGTGCAACCAAGCACTTTGCAAGCATTATTCTTCAACACGCCGACAACAACAGGCGCCAGGGACAACCGCGCACCGTTTAACAATGCTAATGTAACGAATTTTAGCGCGTTGGGCAAACTAACGCCACCACATAGCGCGCCTACAGCACGTAGGCCAGAGCAAGCTGATGCTAAGCCGCGTCTCATGGGTTATGTAACGCAACGTGAAATGAATGAATTCGGACAGCAGCATATGCATTAGAGAGTTAGAATAGTAGGAGGTTTGCACTGCGACCTAGTGTCTATTGTGCACTATTAGAGAGTTAACCACAACGGCATGCAGTCAAACGCATGAGAAAACAGCAACAAAATGCGCTACAAAATTTGATTTGGTATTTTGCTATAAATTTGGCAGGTAAATTATAAATGTTGAACTCTAACCTTAAAAATTTGTGAAGGCAGCAAAAACTTGTGGCAGTTGTAGTGACACTGTAATGCATTTCAACTCGATTTGCTTGCAGTTTTACGATTTCGATCATTCAGTTCACTATAATCTTTTTAATGTTTTATTTTTTAATTATTAAAGGCTAAATGCTTACTCGATAGTATTAATATGACATTATGGTTAAATACTTGATGATCGTTTAAATTTTAAGGCTATAGTTATATTATTGTATTATAGTTTTAAAAACACATATTTCTTAATTTTTGAAAATACTAATACATATACGGCAGTTAATTTGATTAATATTATTTCAAAATTTTTTTAATTTTTGAAAATATTAATATGCCGCAGTTAATTTGATTAATTTTATTTTAAAATTTAGTTTTTAGTTAACGAAAGCTTTTCATTTCATTGACCCGTCGATACAATTGTTTTTTAACGAATGGTGAAAATATAATAAAATGGTAAATACTTAGAAAAAAATTTATTTTTACTTTTGAATTGCGTGAATTATTTACTACTATTTCTATAAAGTCGAATTGGCAGTTTTTCTTATGAAATTTTTTTTATTGTAAGCTTAAAATTTGATTATGATTTTTTTTCATGTAATTTAATATAATCATTATATACACCATTTGCATTAATCCACTAAATTTGTTACATTTGCTCAATTTGTACATTGTATTTAATTTCTAACTTTATTTTTTGTTAATGTTAGTGACTCCGCTTTTACGCCACTTTTAACTATACTTATAATAATAAAAGTTCGTTATAACTTTTGTTTTTTTTCGTAAACTTTCATAAAATCTGAGATTAACATTACACACGTACAAATATATAAATAAACTGCTTAAGAATAAAGTATAAAAGCAAATAGGCATCATAAAACAAAAAAAAATATTAAAAAAGCAATTAATTTGCAAAGCGCAAGTTAAACTAATAATATATTATAGTAAAGCAAACAAATATGATAAATTAAATCACACATGGATCACTACATGAAAATTTATTTATGTTTGTAAAGCAAACAACTTTTTTTTATACATACTTTCTGGTGCTTTCGTAGTTTTTTTTTTATTTTTTATTTTTTGTTTTTAATTTTTTCTGATCATACGGCTTAAAAGTAAATTATTGTGTAATAAAATGTTTAGCAGTAAATCTATATACGAATATATACACATGCATATGTATGTAGATATATACATTTATGCGCTAAATGCTCGTTATCATTGTAATCAGTTTTATAATTGTAAGCAAAACTGGCAATAAAAGCAATTTCAGCAAGTTACACTGCAACAAATAATGTAAAAAATTATAATTTTCATTAATTTTTTGCCTTTTAATAATTATAATAATAATATTTTTAAATGTTTTAGTTTATTATAAGTATCCAGCTTATAGGAATTTTACAGCTACCACAACGGACCGGTGTAATCCTTCTTAGCATCGACCGCCTAACCTAACCTATTATAATTTTACTTGATATGAAGCACAACATAGATTACTTATTGTTTTTCTATAATTAGTGTTTATGCGTTTTTCAGCAGATGTTAAAACTTAATTTAAAAAATTCTGGGTATTTTAATAGTTTATTTTTACAATTCAATGATATAGTATTTTTTTTATTATTTTTTAATACAACTTTTTTTTAAAACTTGTTGTTAGTTTTTTAATTACATATTATAATTTTTTTATTATACATTTTTTTGTTAAATTAATATTTTTTAATTATAATTTTTTTCATTACTATTTTTATTATTTTTATTATAATTTTTTTTTTCTATTATTATTATTTTTAATTAATAAAAAATATAAAATATATATTTTTAATCAATATTAATTTATTTTTTAGTATTAATATTTTTAAATATTGTTTTTTTCTTTAATAATTATTTATTTAATTGTTTGTTTTTTATTATTGTTACTTTTTTAATAATGTATAAATTTTTTAATTTTTAGTATTTGAATTAATATTCTATTTTAGTTATTAAAATTCTAATTTTTTTTAATTATGTTTTTTTTAATTTTTTAATTATAGTTATTGTTTTAAAATTTTTTTTATTTTCATTATTTTTTTAATATTTATTTTATTTTTAAAATATGTTTTTTGATCAAATTTTTAAAAATAGTTATTTAATTTTTTTCTTTGATTTTTTTATATTTTTAAACTTTAGTATTTTTTTATATGTTTAATAATTTTCTTTTTAATTTTTATTATTTAAATTTTTTTTTTAATTTTTATTAGTTTTTAAATTTTTTTATTTTAATTGTTTTAAATTTTTTTAATTTAAATACTTTTTTAAATTTTGTAACTTTTTTATATTTAACCTTTTTTTAATTTTTTATTAGTTTTTAAATTTTACTTTTATTTTTATTGTTTTTAATTTTTATATTTTATTATTTTTTATATTTTATTATTTTTTATATTTTATTATTTTTTATATTTTATTATTATTTAAAATTTTATTGCTATTTTAAATTTTTGGATTTTTATTATTCAAACATTTTTTTAAAAATATTTTTAATATTTTTTTTTTTTTGCTCAAGTGATTTCTGCTAAACGCATATGTTAATTAAATAAGAATTGCAATTTGACTCATTTGAGGTTGTCTATATATAATATATTTATAAAAGCTTTAAAATTAGTGCTTTACAAATATAAACAATAATGAATATATATTTTTAAGCTACAAAAATTGTGTTTCAACACACATTTAAATTATGTTACTTGTATAATTGATTACAATTGGTGATTGTTTGCAAATTTTATTATGTACTTTTTGCTTTTAATCGCCATTTTAATATTTTCCATGAATACTTTCAATATAAAGCACATACACATGTACATATGTATACATATGTCGGTGTGTGGTAGATTTTATATAATAAAAAATTACGAGACAACTGTTTACCACTAATATAGATATGCAATTAATGTGAAAATTTTTTGTGTTCCACGTAAACAAGTAAAGTACACCGATCGCTGGCATTCATGAATGGTAAAATGTTTGAATGGTGAATGTCGACACTGTTCTTGAATGAAATTGAGATTGTTTTTCTCATTGCAACAACAAAAAAGTATTACTAATGAAACTGATTATATTATTTATATATAAATATACAGTCATAAGCCTATATATATGTATGTATGTACACAGAAAGCATATAACGCCATGTTAGCCTAGCATTTCTACAGCTGTCACTTAAATAATGTATATGTGTTACGTCATATTCCCATAAACAGTAAAATAACTTACGCATATACTTGGGTCTGCATGTAAATTGTGCAAATGCGACAAAAATAATATTGTATTATTCTTTATCTTTTAATTCAATACGAAATAATATGTTTATTGCCAATTATGAATAATAAATATTATATATGTGGTGTCATGCGTTATATCAAATTACATTCTATTAACATGATATATCAAAATACTACCGCATTGAAAAAAATTGTATATTTGTGTCTTAAGATATGTATATCGTTTGTTCCTTTTTTAATTGGTGTTTTGTAATTTTTAATTTATTTTCTTTTTTAATATCTTTAAAAATCAACATTTAAAATTTTTTTTTCAATATTTTTTTAAATTATTTATTTTAATTTTTTTTTAAACAATTAATTAATTTTTTTAAACAATTTAAAAAGAAAATTAAAAAAAAAAAATTTTTTAATTTTTTTTATGTTGTGTTTCATATATTTTTTTAATTAAAAAGAAAATTTTTTTTAAATATTTCTTTTTAATATATTTATTTTTCATTTTTATTTTGTTTTATATACATAGTATATACCAATCGTTTTTTCTCATAATATTTTGTTCTCTAACAGTAGCTAAAAAATCAAGTAATCTCTCAATTTTAGATATAATTATTAAAAAATAAACTATATATGATGTGACTGTTCACCACCAGACGAATTTACTGCTCTCCCCTTAGGCAAAGATTAAACCAAAAGGCTTCGCATTATTCTTCAAAGCCAACGGCGACATTATTGAAACGTTATAAACTTTTTTGTATTTTTGTCGTAACTTACATTTTTTATTCCTGTGGCCTTGCGTTTTGCTAAAGAAACAAAAAATATATGCATATATAACAAAAAAAATATTATATAATATAACGTACTAAATAAAAATATATATATTTATGTTTGTCATGCTATTTTAATTTCTATAGTTTAAGTTAGATATTACAGTGTATTAATTGTAATCAAAACTGAAAATAAAAGCGAATACTTATTAATTAGTAATGTGTATAAAATGAAGTTTTAATTTTTTAAAAGGGTGAATTTTTTGGAAGTATGGGAAAATATTATACTCGAAATTTCTTAATTAAAATTCTTTCTTAACAAGTTTTTAATATATCTTTTTTATTTAAAAAAATGTTTTCTTTTTAATATATGTTTTTTTATTTTTAATATTTATTTTTAATATATTTTTTTATATTTATTTTTAATGTTTTGATTTGATTTTTTATTTTTTTTACACCTTTATTTTTAATATTAAAATTTGTTTTTGTGTAGTTTTGTTTTATATATTTTTTAATTTTTGCTTATCGGTATTTTTATCTTCGTTTTTACTTTCTTACATTAATTTATTTTGACTTTTTTAAATTAAGTTGTTTTTTTTTTATTACAATCTTTTTAATTTTTTTTACATTAAAAAATTGTGTTAGTTTCTTTAATATTTTTTTACTTTTTAACTCTTTTTATTTTAAATTTTTGTGTTATTTTGTTCTATGCATTTTTTTTAGATTTTAGCTTTTTTTTTTGTTTGTTTTTTTATATAAAATAGTTTTTTACTATTTAATTTTTAATTTTTTGAATATTTTTACATTTAATGAAATAATTTTTTTATTTTTTAAATAAAACAAGTTTTTACTTTCTTACATTAATTTTTTTTTACTTTTTAAAATTAAGTTATTTTTTTTTAATAAAATCTTTATAGTTTTTTACATTAAAAAATTGTTTTACTCTTTTAAATATTTTTTTATTTTTATTTTTAAGAATTAAAATTTTAAATTTTTTTAAATTTGAATGACATTAACAATAACGTCAAAAAAAACAGCTTATATTGTCAAATACGCTGAGAAACCCAGTTGAGTAGAAGAAGAGGAAATCAAGTCTCAATAGTAAATGAAACACTGACTATAGCCACGCATTCAGTTTAACTCCCGGAACACAAAATAACTGGGCTAGGTTTTGTAAAATTTCTGTCACTCAGCTTGCCTCCGAAGAAATTGTTTAGATCGGATCACTATAGTATATAGCTGCCATACAAACTGAACAATCGGAATCAAGTGCCATACAAATGTTTGCATGGGAAACTTTTTTTATTTGACGAGGCATCTTAACGAAATTAGATCGGAATCAAGTTCTTGTAAGGTACCTTTGTATCTGTGAAGGCTATTATAGCTTCGGTGCAACCGAATTTAACGTTTTTTCTTTTTTTTATTTTTAATTTTCAAAACTCACTTTTTAAACTAGA